AGTTGAGAGAGAGAGAATACACAGCGTGGAGAGACCAGAGAAAGGAAGAAAGAAGCAGGCCCTAGGTCTCCCTGGAAATCATGGAGGAATCTCTGGTGCTGGGGAAGACACAGTGAGTCCAGTAGGGCTGGGCAGCTTTCTGGATGTGATGGTCTTGAGCTTTTCAGAGCTAGGGCTCAAGAGCTGGGAACTTGTGGGAAGGAATAGGCCTATCCTGCTCTGGGTTCCTAAAGAGCAGACCCAGATCAAGGATCCATGACGGTTAGTTTGGCAGATTCAGGAATTGACAAGGCTTTAGCTGCTTTGCTGGGTACCATCTGCTTTCACTCTGAGTGGGGAGGAGGTAAAGAGAAAGTAATGAGATTTCTGTACCATAACTGTGTTCCCTCCTCCACACACTGGAGTTCTTTAGTTGTGTGCCAATAATAATAGGGAAAGGAGAGTACTCTGGCAATCCTGAGGTTCTCATACTTGACATCACAGCCGCCAGCAGGGCAGGATCCACCAAGTGCTGCTGTCTTCAAATGACCCCTGAGGTTTCTGGGTACCAACTGTTGATGGCACACAGGTCTGCAGTTCAGCCTGAGAGCTGTTAGATTCAGTGGACCTGGACGGATACTGTCCCCATTCTGCCAGCTCTGGGTGTCTTGGACTATCATTAAGGACTGCTTTGTGAACTGATGACCATGTTCTGCCCCTTCATGGCTTCCCCATTAACATGAGAGTCTGAAACCTAGAGCAAGTGAGGTGGGCATCCATACACTACTTGAGTGTGACAGTAGCAATTTTCTCCTGGTTTTTCAAAGCAGTTGGCTGAGGGCTCTAAAGCTACAGTGCATTCTCTGTAGCTGTGAATAAGCCTTAGGAGGATGTCCCCTGGGTCACATTGTCTAGGGAGACAGAGGAAACCTGCTGACTTCTGAGACATCCACCTCCCTATAGAGAGATGGGAGAACTGACATCCACAGTGGGGGTGACTCAAGTCTGGTCTTTGAGAAACAGCTAGGACAAAGACTCATCTGTCAGTTACTTCCTGAGCATCCTTCAGTGTGTCAGGTTTGACTGAGATGAGGTAGTGTACAGGGCAGGTACTGTGCTTTGACTTCTAGACTTCAAAATTACTGAGATACTTAACTTTGTCTAACTTGGATGTCAGGGTGATATAACAACTGAATGGACATAGTTTACCCCACATCAATCATTTGTTCTTGGGTCCACCAAGTACACTTCTGCATCCACAGTCCAGTCTCCTGAAGAATTTGCAATCCAGGCTGAACATGGTGCTAGCTCCCCATTTCAGGACTGCCAGGGTATTCACAAGTGTGAAGACGGCTCTAGGAAAGATCTCGGGCAAAGGACCCCTCATATGTTTCTTGTGTCCTTTGCCTGCCCTTCACATGCTCCGATGAGTATTCTTTAAGCTGACTGTGCCCCCCTTTCCTTCCTAAGGTCATGTGATTTGTCACAGGTGGCTCCAGATGAAGGACTTATTAGTCTTTGTGTAGCACTTGGTGGTGCAACATAGCAGTTACACACTAAATACTGTCCCCATGACTGTGATACATTTGTCCTTCCATAGCTTTGTCTGGCCTCTCACTAGTCATTCATGTTTCCTCACAGTTGAGTGGAGGAATGGACCATCACTCTTCCTGGGAGTGTTTGCTCTTGTGTCCCAGGGCTCACCTAGAGAGTCCCAGTTCTTATCATCCAGCCTGACATGTCACTAGTTGATCACATATTTGCTAATATCATGTTGGCTAGAATTTATTGTGCTGATGATTCAGGGAAATTTTTCTCATTAACTAAGGGACATTTCTTTGTTCTGACAGGACACCCACAACCTCCCACCATATTCACATACTAAAACAGCCTTGTGGATCCTCCACAATGTTCTTGTTGACATCAGGGGATCGTTCTTTCCTTCCCACCATTCTGACTTAATTCTCTAGCAATCTTTATTTCTCATGTCATTGATTAGAGATCTCAAGAAGGGGACAGTCATTGCCTGGTATGTGTTTTGAAGTGAGTCTTCAACTTCCCATACATGAAGTAGTGAAAATATTTAGTGAATCAGAAAGAGATCTCTGGCTTTGTAAGGAGGAGGTGCTGAAGTTCTTTCCTAGTGTTTCTGAGAAGGCCCCTGGGAATGACAACATGATTTTTGGTGAACTGAAGAAGAGCTAGTTAGTGGATAAGTGAGGGCTGCTGGAGGTGACCCTAATCGTCCTTGCTATGGAGATGCTGTTCTATCCTGGAGAATCCTTGGTAATGTGTGATGTCACCAGTGTTGTGGCAACACTAATGTCTGTGGGTTATTCCTTCAGTTCCCATAGACATGTTGGCAAGACTGAGCAGGCTGCTTGGGAGAGAGAATGGAGAACATGGAGAAACCAGAGAGAGGCAGAAGGAATATGGCCTTTGGTCTCAGTGTAATACCTGGAGAAATAGATGGTTCTGGGGAAGGCACAATGAGTCCTGAGCAGGGGACAAGAAGCTTCCTGGAGGAGGAGAACTTGAGCTGGGATATCTAATAGGGTAGCTCAGCAGCTGGGAGTTTCTGGGTAGTAATGGGCCAGTCCAGCTTCTCTGGCTTTCTAAAGAGCAGACCCAGAGTCAAGAGTTTCTGAAGGTTAGTTTAGGAGAGCCATGAATTGTTCATGCTGCAGCTGCTTTTCTGGGAATTCCTTCAATTCATTCTGAGTGAGAAAGAGGATTGGGAGAAACAGATGGACCCCTGAGCTGTCCCTCTCTGGGTAGGGTTTTGGTGCACTTCATCCTAGTGAATTACTTCAGTTTCCATGGAAATCTGATGCCAATAGGAAGGGAGGGAAACCCCCTTTGTCCACACAGCAGATATACAGATGCTTTGGTCCTGGACACATGTGATCAGGACTTGGTCCTAGGACTAGGGACAACAGGACTTACTTGCATCAATTCAGATAAGACCTGACACTGTCCTCCAATTCTACTTGGCTGGGCTAGCCTATGACTTCCAGGACCAGTGTGGGCTGCACTAGGGTGTGAGGCACATGATTAATCACAGTGGTTGATTATAGCATGAATCTCAGTAGTTCTTATTAATAAAATCAAACCTGAGGCCAGTTCTTGGGGTGAAATGCTGGAAGGTCAGAGAGACAGAACAAGCCACAGCTAGCCTCAACTGGCCAACTTCTCAGCTGATCTTGTTTCCTCAGACTGGAAGCCTCTGTGTCCTCATATCCGAATGGCTCTGAACTGTGCTGCTAGGAGCCTGAAAGATTAACCAGTCAAATGCTTCTAGTTTCTGGTCCTCGCGCCTTATATACTTTTCTGCTTTCTACCACCACTCCCTGGGATTAAAGGCGTGTGTCACCATGCCTGGCCGTTTCCAATGTGGCCTTGAACTCACAGAGATCCAGAGGGATTTCTACCTCTTGATTGCCAGGACTAAAGGTGTGAGTGCCACCATTTTCTAGTCTTTGTATCTAGTGGCTGTTCTGCCTGTGACTCCAGATAAGTTTATTAGGGTGTACAATATTTTGGGGAACACAATACCACCACAGTTGAGGACAGAGACAGAGCTCAGGGGCCCCAGGTTGAGGATAGCTGCCCTGCTGTTCCGAAGCTTCACTGGGTTCCTAGAATTTTCTCTTCTTTAGACTTCTTCTTGGGACTCAGCATGGACTCTCCTGGTCCTATGCCATTCAAGAATACAAGTTAACTTGTCTTTATCTACCTGCAGGGACTACTGGGGAGGCACCATCCCAACTCTCCACCTTCACTGAGCAGGAGCAGGAGCAGGAAATGAAAAAACTAGAGAAACTCACCATTCGGTTACATGACATGGAATGTGAGAGAAATGAGCTGCCTGGAATCCTGGCCAATTACACAAACAAGGATTTGAACAACAGGTAGTCATTATGCCCAGTTCTCTGCTGGCCATCATGACACCACAGTATCCAGCCCAGGTTTCCTGAGGAACAGGAGGCTGAAACTCCAGGGTGTCCTGCTGCCTAAACTAAGTTTCATGAGTTTTTTTTGAGATGCAGAACTTGTATTCTGGGTAGGAGTGAGATGGGGACACAGGCTGTTCTGCTTCCTCCAAATGAACACCAGAGCCTGTGGCCTGAACCACAGTCTGGGGATAGGGACAGCAGTGTGTGAGCTCTCAACATGCATTTCAAGATGCCTTGACAGGTGTTGGCTTGTGGGAGATACTAGGTGCTGTGAGTTTGTGGTGAGTCTTTGTACTTGACCAGCAGATGAGTGCATACTGAAAACTCCTGGCAGCAGCTGCTGGAGGGACCTGGTCCATTCATCCATCTCAGGGTGTGGCTGGAATGCCTGGAGCTCATCAGTGCTCCTTTCTGGTGTGCTTATACTCTGTGACAATGTTGCATCCCAACATTTCTTGGGCATCCTGATTTCATGTGGGGTGTGTGTGTGTGTTCCTTAGAGTCTAGGGATGTGACAGGGTCTGACGACTTAACATAGTTCCAGGTGATGGTACTGCTGAAGCAAGGGAACCCCACTTTGAACAACACACCTCCTGGTCACTGTGCTCACCTTGGTAGAACATTAGAATCACCTGTGCACTTTATAAAACCATCCTGAAGTTGGGGCTCCTCCCTGGACATACTGATTGTGTGCTCTGGGTCTCTGTGTAGCTATAGGCACCCAGAATGAGAGTCCCTGTTCTAGAGACAGGAGAAATGTTATCATAGGTTTCTTGTGTGTCCAGATAGGTGGCACAGATTCCTGGGACTTCTTAGAGCGCTTATCTATAGCTCCCAGCCCACTGAGGGTGCTCATGCAGCTCTGGCTTCCTCCCCTTAAACCTTCTGGCTTTTATGTTCTGAGCACAGGATAGGATGTTTAATAAGCACCAGGAGATTCCATTGTTTAAATCCAGGCTGTGGCATCCACTGGGCTGGAGTAGTCCTTGACACAACCTCATTCATATTGTCCTTGTGGCTTGAGTTCATGGGGTTCTTTTCTCCTGGGTCCATGCCCTACCACAGGGTGAATTTTGAGCTTGAGATGCTTGAAATGGAACACAAGCAGGTGATGTCATACCTCCAGAAATTACCCATGGAGATTAGTGATTCCTTGGACAAGTGCAAGGGGCTGATTGAGGAGACTGAATACTTTAGGTAAGTGCCCAATAGCTTGGGAGGGACTGTTTCTGCCCTTCTTTGTCCTTGACCCAATGTGAGGCTCTGGTTCTAGCCTGTCTGTCTCTGAGTCAGTTGCCTGCCTTTGGACCTTTGATTTGTGCCTCTTGGACTCAGTTTTGCTAAGTGTGAAAAAACACTGAGGACTCCCATCATAGTCCAACCAAACTCAGGAGCCCTTAACAGAAAAATGATTTGCAGCATAAGAGGATGTCTGGCAGCCCAGGTCCTCTGGGCCCTGGCATGGGCTCCAGTAATCTGGTTTGCTTGGGATCTGTAGACAGAATTTATACCTGTTAGGACTTTTGCCCACCTCAGAGCGTATTTGTCCTCTACCTGCTGATGCTTTCCCAAGGTTTGAACAGTCAAGAACAGGTGTGGGCTGCACCCTGTTCTTAGAGGCACAGGATCCCTTTTGGTACCAGGATTTTCAGTAGTTTGAATCTGTGTGGAATTTGGTTTTTCTCTGGATTTGGCCTGCATTTGAGTGATGCTGGCTTGGCTACTGAGAGCTCCATTCATGTACTGTCTGCAGGCCTCCAACTTTTCATGGAAGTAGGGAAGGCAAATGGAGGCTTGCTTTGGCTCACCATGTTTTGGTGATTGTTTAGTTACCTTAATGGCCGGGTCCTACGAGAGTGTTCTCAGCTAAAGAAGAATGTACATGTATTGAGACTCCAGAACATACAGCTGTGGAAGGAGCAGATTGAACTGCAAAAGACCTGTGAGGAGGTGAAGAAGCTCTTGAAGGAGGCCCATGAGAAGATCTGTGACCCCTGTGCTGAGCAGCAGCAGGTAGGCTGAGGCACTAGGGGCAGGCTGCCCAACTGTCCAACCATAGACATAGAGACTCCCATATAACCATCCACCCACCCATCCAGAATCCCAACTCCATACCATTAAAATTGTTCATTTCTGTGATCATTTACAAGTCTTCCTGTAGAGTAAGCCTCTTACTAGATACTGGATGACTGGCAAACAAACGCTCCTGCTCTGCTGGAAGCTGCAGTACATTCAGAGAGATGGGTCAGTCACATATCACACACCTACATGTCATTATATTAGGAATCTGTTATGCAGGGAGATACTTGGAGAGTACCACAGAACTCTCATTGATTAGGTCAGTGGCCTGTGTCTCATTTACATTCCGGGGTCATGTGAGATCATAAGTAGGTAGCAGTTTGCAAGGACTAGAGCCCTAGGCCAATGCCAAGTGAATGTTTTTCATTATCAACCTTTAGGGTGGCATGTGGTCTTCTCCTTTCTTCCTGCATCCCAATGTGGTCTCTTCGCTTAGCTTAACTCTTGGATCATGCTGTCAGAAGCCTGAGTATCAGCTTGTCAGCTCTGTTTTCTTTGGGTGGTGCTGAACAGTTCTCCCATCCTGGAGTTTCCAGTCTGGAGCTGACTGAATGACCATAGATGTAGCATGACTTTGACAGCCTGAGGTTTGGGGTGACAGATTTGAGGCTTCAAGAGAACATTTTCTCCAATCATCTCAACATAGTTTGATTAAGCTTTGTGCTCTCTCCTAGGCATTTTTAGTCCCCAAGGGAAGGATAGCTGTTTGCAGGGCTCTGTGAAAGATCTCATGTGCATAATCTAAACTCAACTGTTCACTCCATAAGATGTCCTCTTCTTTTTTCTGCTCTCTTTTGATTTCTGTGGTCTGTGTGATCTATGCAGGCATGTGTAAATGTATACACTTGTGGGTGTGTTTAGAGAATACATAATGAAATCCCATGTTGTCATCTGTTGCTTACTCTCTTGGTACCTTGAACCAAGGTCATTCACTGAACCTGCAATTTTCTGTTTGGGCTAATCTGGCTGATCAGCACTCTTTGGGTCTCCTGTCCCCAAAGGGACCATCTGTCTTGTTTTGTCTCATCTAATTGTCACAAGTTTCAATTGCTCAAAAAGAAAAAGGAGGGAGGAGATTTCTCTTGTGTTTATACATTTTTATTGCCTTGGTATACATGTGGTTTTTAATAAATAACAAAAATCAAACAATACAGCTATTTTAAAAATAAAAACTAGACTTCTTCCCTTTCACTACACTGTGCTAATACCACAGGAAATGCCTTGTTTGTCTCATTGGCTTCACAACATGGAATCCCACAGTGCATCTCTTTGCTGACATTGTGTTGCTGACTAAATCCTGTGCAAGGCTGTGTTTCAGAACAGATTCCCTCTCATAGTTGTGCAGAGTGCTGTGTTCCTGAAAAGCACTGCAGGTGATGTCTCTGGCCTCTTTCTGACTGACATTGGGGTGAATTCATATCATATGCACTGTAGTCTTTTGACAACTTCCTGGGTGTTGGTTGACCATGGGTTACTCTCTTTCACTTGAGCTATCCAGGTCTTTCTGAAGGAGCCAGGGTAAGTTTAGTGAAGAGATTATGATGAGTTGATTTGGAACCTGTGAGATCAGTGAGTCTTGGGATGTATAAAGTTCATGGAAGGAAAAGTGAGTGCAGGCCAGGGTAGCAGAGGCTGACTGAGTCTAAGAGCTTTGTACACAGCAGAGAAGACCCATGACCTCCCCCTGCATCAGAAAAGGTACTGCAAGGCAGCAGTCCTCTCGTTGGCCATTCTAGGTTAAGGAAGTTGTGTGTGTGTGTGTGTGTGTGTGTGTGTGTGTGTGTGTGTGTGTGTGTGTATTTGTATGTGTGTGTGTATGTGTGTTGTGCATTTCTGTGTGGGTGAACCTCTGTATGTGTGTGAATGCTGGTTATTATTTGGACATTAATGTTCCTTTGGTTTCTGTATATGACCTCCTATGGGTAAGTGCTTGTATGTGTGTTGGGAGTATGGGTGCTTAAAAGTGCAAGTGTGTGTTTGTGTGTGTGAATGTGTAAACTCACTTGTGTTTTTCTCTGAAATTACTCATGAAACATTTTTAATGATGATGGAGACTAAATTTATTGAGAAAGTACTGTGCCTATCTCTCATGCCCACTGTATTCATTTCTCATCCAATGAAAGTTAATCTTCTTCTCAATAGTATTCCTGGTGATGGATCCTTCTATTAGAATTGGCTGGGTAATTGAACATGTTAGTGCATTACAGTGTGCAAGTATGTGTGCATACATGTACTTGTGTGTGTCCCTGACTTTTTGTGTGTCCATGTGAGTGAGCAACACTTCACTGAAAACACAATCTTCTAATGAACAGGAGCAAGAGAGCCTGGATGGAAGACTGAAGGACCTGCTGAAGCAGAATGAGCTGGTCACCGTGCAAATGGACTTGGCAGAAAAGCTGCAACATCACTTCAGTGTCTCTGAGATGAGGTAGGAGCCCAAAATGGGTAGAGCAGTAAGAACCATGTAGATCACCTGTACCTGGATCTCTGTCCTTTTTGGGATTCTCCCCATCTGGATGGCTCTCAGCCACAACCAGGGAAAAACCACCTTAGGGTATTGTGCTGGCCCAGTCAACAAGAACTTCTCTAGGAAACACTGTTTGAGCCTTAGTGTTTCTTTGGAGTGTGTACCCTTTAATCCCTTCTGAGCTCTCTGGTATCTTCTCAGTGTCCCCTGTGTCTCCCCACAAATCTCCCTATGGTAGTCCTCAATCTACAGGAGGAGGGTTAGTTTTGGAGGACAGTGTGTGCTCCTGTTACTTTATTTTCCTTCCAGATCATCGCTTTTAGAGAGAAGTTCCTACTTTTGGGTAGATTCGCGTGCAGCACACTCCTGCTGATTACAGGCTCTCTGCAGTGTGCATCTGTCTCCTGTGGAAGATTTTTCTGGACATAAGATTATTTAGGGGTTAAGGTGTTGAACTCAGGTAGGTTCCTGTGCTGTAGGAATAATCAGAACCTTCACTGTTTTTATTTTGTAGACTCTCTAGAGGGTCTACATTCAGTTTCCCAGGTTGCTCATTCACCTGGTATCTAATCAGGGCCATGTACATCTGCCCTGAACTGTCACTCAGACATTGATACACTGTTATGTTTTTCTCAAATAATGTATCTAGACAACTGGAGAAATGTGTCGATTTTCTTGTTCAGCACTATGTAGTTCTCAGTTCATCTACTAGCAGATATTAAAACACAGGAAAAAATCCAGGCTAAGGTACAGTCTGACACTACTCTCCTGGGAAATGCAGGGAATGACCTCAGCTAAAAGGTCACACTGTACTGTCCAGGTGACTAGAGCTGGTTCATAGCAGGGCCCACCAGGCCTGTTCCCTTACTCCCTTCCTCCTGTAGGTCAGAAAATCTACAGTATGACCTGGAACATGTCACAGCCCAGGATGAGAGCCTCCTGCAGACAGAGCTCCTGCAGCAGGAGCAGGAAGTATCACAGGCAAGTGAGCCACCACTGCATTCCAACCCCTGCAACCATGGCATTCATGGGGACTGGGGGCTCTTGACATTGGCTTCCAGTGTGAATAGGCCCTGATTTTGTCTAGCCTGTGGCCCAGCCACTATGCCTCTGGGACTAATTGCCTTTCCTTCTCACACAGCAGCTTTGAAAAAACTGAGGAGGCCAAAGACACCAGAGACAACTTGAACCCATGGTATTCTCCACCCTTGTATGGACACCTCCTCAGAAGATGACACCCTACAACATTCCAAGGAGGCATGGCTATACTTGCTTTGAAAAGGCTTTTTACAATTGTGCCTGCCTTTCTACCATGTTTCCAAGGCCAGCCACAGGCTGTCGGACTGTGCATCAAAATACGTTGCATGGTTAAGCTAATCTTTTCATCTTTTAATTAAGAAAGCTGCTTAGCTTAATTTTTTTGTTTGATTTTTTTTGGGTTTTGTTTGCTTTGGGTTTTTTTTTTTGTTTTCTTTGTTATGGTTTGTGGTTTTTAATTCATTTGTTCTGTCTTTCTTTTCTTGTTGTTTGGTATTTTGATAAGGCTATTTATTGTTTATATTGTTCCCTCTTTAATATAGTATTGAGTAAAATGACTGTATTTTTTTAATAAATGTGTGATTTCCCACTCTTCACTCTTAAGACTGATTTCTTTGGTCAGTATTGCTCTGAGCTCAAAGTTTGTCTAATTGTGTCCCAGCAAAGCTGTTCTAGGTATGATAGCCTTTCCTTCACTGACAGCAGCTCTTGAGGGACAACTGAGGAAGCCAAAGAAGCCACAGACATCTTGATCATGCAACATTCTCCACCCTGGGTCAAGGTCCCTTCAGATGAAGACACCCCTTTCAGCTGAGATCTCATCTGTGAGACAAACACCAACTGACCTCCAGGTGGTCCAGCCCCATCAGATCCATGGTCTATTGACTCAGTATTCCTGAAGAAAAGAAAGCATCACAAATGAGCTTGAGATACAGAAAACCTGAGAGAAGAGTTACTGAGAACCCTGACATTCAACAGAATGTGTTCCTTGTGAAGGATACAATAATGTGAAGGGTAGAGATGTTGGTGAGCAAGACTTTTTCTGTCAGTTTAATGTCCATGACTTTGGCAAGCTCACTGAGTCCTTAGACCTCCCCATGTGGTGTGAAATCCGTCACAGAAGACTGACTGTGTTGATGTCAAGTGGTTCTAGACAGACAGTTTCCAACTCTTCACTCTTAATATCAGTTTCTAGGTCATGTGTGATGTTTCACTCCTATAGCTCCAGAACCATCTGTAACTCCAGAACTCTAGTGTGCCCAGCTTGGCTTACATAGTGAGTTCCCAGCCAAGCCAGGGATACACAGGACTTTGGATGTGGATGGTGTTGTCATCTCTGTGTATACCTATTTCATGATAGAAAAAATATTCATACTGTTCTTTCTGGACATAACTTTAGGTATCCCTAAACCATAGTATTCTGTATACACATTTTATGAAATGATCATGTGAACCATAATAATGAAACACAACAATACTGCTCTAATGCCTCTCAGGAAATTCAAACATTTACTAAGGAAGTATGCAAAAACTCCTAGACCTGCTTGCCATCCGGGCCTTGGTGATGTCCCTGTCTGGGCATCCAAGGGTCATATCTTGTCCATGGCCCTGACACAGATGTGGGCATCTGTGTTGATATCTGTGACTCCTGTTAGCACTGAGAGCTTTGCAACCACCTTCAGTCTGAGCACCACCTGTGACTATGGTACTGTTAAAGGGATATGATCCACAGGTGACTTGTGTGTTTTAGAGGACTGTGCTGCCACACAGGACCATAGTCACATCTGTGCCAGGATAGTTGCCAAGGGCCACATCTGTGTCCATGGCCCTGCTGAAACTAGGGTCTGAATTGATGTCCCAGGCTCCAGACGCCATCAAAGACAGTTCAGATGCTTGGAATTAGGCTACCACATGGACCCACTTGGGTACTGCTGCTGGGTCTATGCCGATCTGAGTGACCTGCATTACCAACCAGGGCCATGGAGACATCCAGGCCCAGCAAGCAGCCTAGCAACATGTCTGGGTCCATGTTGCAAATACAGCCAGTGTCTGTGGCCTCTGTTGCCAATCAAGAGACATACAGGACCATCTTAGTCTCAAGGGCTGTCCTTCTTCCAGAGCCATACAGCTCTCAGTGGACTGCTGCTAAGAAGGGCCATGGTGTCCTCCCGGACTAGGCTGCTGCTAAGGGCCATGTCTGGAACATTTGCCCTGCCACATTCTCAGTTTATGTTGGTGTCAATGGCTCCTGTTACCACTGAAGACAGGATAGGGATTCAAAGAGTTAACCATGCCCCTCACAGGCTGCAGCACTAGGGAGAACTGGATCTGCCCCTCACCAACTGCAGCACTTGGAGAGTGGATCCTGCACCTGGACTGAGTAGCATGTAGAGCTGTCCCTGTTAGTGGTGGTGCAGGAGAACTAGCCATGAGGGTATGAGAGCAGAAGAGCTGACTTTGCTCCCCTTCTTCTGACCTGTGTTGATAATGGTGAGGGAAAGATGCCTGCTCCACCTGAACATATGCTATCTGAAGCTGGTGGAGAGTTGGCCTCTGGGCCATGAGAACAGAAGAGCTGGTTCTGCCCCTGACCAACTGCAACAATTGGGAAAGTGGACCCAGCACCTTGCCTGTCCAAACAGCAGAGCTTGCTCTTGTGGTCTAAATGTGGGTGACCCAGATGTGAGGGCCTGAAATGAGGAGAATTGTCCTCTGTTCTTTCTGCCTGCTACATTTGGTGATTTAGCTGGGGCAGAGTTGGAGAGCTTGCTCAGGTGTGAAGATGAGGGACAGCTGGTGGGCTCACTAACCCAGCTACCACCCAGGTTCAGAACAAGGGTACAAGTTATCCCATCCTAACACCCTCTTCATCTATGAACTGCAGGAGCATGTGAATGGCCCAGATCTGCAGATCAGAGCTACAGGATCTCCATGACACAGACATCAATTCTATATCCAAGAGGAGCCCCAGTGAGGGTGGATTATTGCCAGTGTAGGGGAAGTCAGAGGCCAGGAATACTTGCAAGAACAGATATATAGAGGAAAGGGTGTACTGTATGACTCACTGGGCCACAATACAGATTCCTCAGCAAGATTTTTGTTTGTTTTCTTTTCATTTTGGATTTTGCATTTTTCTTTATATTGTTTTATTTTAGATGGGACGTATCAAGGGCAGAGCACAGATGCAAGGGAATAGGTATTTGGAAGAGTCGAATATGGATGCGGGATATGAAACCAAAGGAGAATCAATAAAATATTAAATAAAAACAAATAAAAAATCCGGAGCTATCTGCCTCTGATTTCTTTGAAATATACCTCCTGTGATAACCAAATAACAGACAGATTGAATTCAAAGATAAGTTTTCACATTATTTTTTTGCTGCTGTAGGCCTTAATGATGCATTAGTGCAATATTTTTTTTCTTATTCTTTTTTTTTTTTTAAGATTTCTTTATTTATATGTGTGGCTGTTTTTCCTGCTGAAGGGCTGTACACTACATGCATGCAATTACACCAGAGGCCAAAAGAGGGCATCAAATTCCCCTGAAACTGGAGTTAAGGATGCTTTTTAGCTGCTCTGTTTTTCCTTTGGCAGAGAAACAATTACTCAGAGTAAAGGAGCCATCTCTTCAGCTCCTGCACTGGGCTGTTTTCTTTCTAGCCACATGTGCTGTATTAGTTGGAATGAATCAGCTCTAAGCAAAAAGAGAAATTTCAGGAGTTCAATAGGGACAAATATATGATGTAGGCATGGTGGTAATTATCTTAGGATGCCATGCATCCATGCAAGGTGTTCATGGGTTCAGGATCCTGCTCCAGCATCACTTATTGTCAGGGTTGGAGCAGATCTCTTACATCTCACATTGGAAGACAATAAAGATTAGGGCCATCTGATAAAATGCAGAAATGAGAAGATCTTGCTGGTGGTGGAGGTGTGGTTAGGAGTCCCTCTTGATGCTCCAGCTAAGTGTTGAGAGGAAGCTTCAGACTAGCCAGAGTGGATGAAGCCTGCAGCAAAAGCCATATGCCTCTGATGGAGAGCACACCTGTGCAAGGCTAGGAAGGGAGAGGGATGGTCGATGCTGCTCTTTGCCCACAGCAGATCTCACTGTATATTGAGGAAGGGTTCCTTCCAGATGAGTGCTGTATTCTTGTGAAGCTCCCCTGGACCAGATCTGATTTCTGAGACTGTATTAGAAAGTTAATGTCTGGAGGGATTAATCCTATGGGATCCAAAACTGGTGCAGTCAACCAAGGGTAGAAAAAATCTACTCTCTACGAATAAAGAACTTATATACACACAGATCATCAATATAGATACAAAACTCATTCAATTCCATGGATGATGTGATCACCTGGACAGTTGGCTCAGTGGGCAAAGGTACCTGCTGCCAGGCCTCTAGGCCTTAGTTTCTTCCCTGGGACTCACATGATTGATGGAGAAAACAAACCTCTGACAAATTGTCCTCTGATCTTCATGTGGGTAGGGGGTGCCTAGTCACGGCCCACAAAAGCTAAGACATGGGGATTTGTGTCCATTCCTCACTTATCCTAGAATCTCTCCATCTGAGGCCCTAATTTAATTATATTCCTCTGCATTCCATTTGAGACCATCACCTGAAGAAGGGTTGAGGGAAGGTGGCCACTGGGAATTTGTGACATAGCTGAGACACAAACTGCTCTAGAATGTCCTCTCTACATGTTAGTCAGGGCTCTCTAGAGTAATAGAAGTTATAACCTGAAGCTCTCTATATCTAGAAAAGGGATTTGTTAGAATGACTTCCAGTCTGTGGTCCAGACTATACAAGGATGGCTATGATGGAAAGTCCAAGAATCCAGTAGTTGCTCAGGCCACAAGACTGGATGTCTTAGTTGTCTGTAGTCTATGCTATAATCTTAAAGAAGTAGGTTTAATTCCAGTGAAGGAATGGATGTGCTCACAAGGCAA